TCTTTCACTTGGAATCTGTGCTGGGAGAGGAGGGGGGGAAAAGAGGCCGTTGTAAATTGCTTAATCCAAATGGAAAGTAAGAGCATTAAGAGGGAATCCATTTGTCCACTTGTCAATAGCAAGTAGAAGAGAGTTCCTGACAAGCACGGTGAGATGGCTACGCCATCCATTTCCTGTTTCCAGCCCTCGTAGTTGCAAAGGGAACCTCCCAAATCTGACCTGATGCAGTGTTGTCTTTCTGAGTCTACAAACAGCTGCAGGGCCTCCGATGCTGCTCAGATCTTTCCCAAGCACAGAGAGAATTAAGAAATTAACATGAGGCAGAATCCTTTGGGCAGCAGTGAAAGTGACAAAGACTCACAGCACATTCACTCTGCTGTTGCTCGAATAATCAATGAACAGTAGTAAAAGCAGGAACTGAGGAGGACCCAGTGGTGAGCTGGAGCCGGTTCACACCGGTTCTCGTGAACTGGTTGTTAAATTTTGAAGCTGGTTTAGAACCGGTTGTTAAAGGGGTGGGCAAACTCCAGCCTGTCCAGCCCACCTGAGCTCTCAGCTATGGAGGCTCCCCGAGAATCCCTTTTTAATTTTTACTCACTCAGCGGCCCAGGTCTTCGGCAGCACTTCGGCAGTGGGTCCATCAGTGCTGCCGAAGACCCAGAGCGAGTGAAGGACCTGCGGCCGAAGTGCCGCCGAAGACCCGGAGTGACTGAAGGAACTGGTTCTTCAGCTTTTGCCAGCTCACCACTGGGAGGACCCCTCTGTCAACCCCAGAATTAAAGGAGGCTGGGAGAGGAATATGGTAGGTAGCGAAGAGGCAACTCCCAGCAAACCACCTCCAGCCATGAGGGGAAGAGGGAAAGGGTAAGCTCCTTCACCCTTTCAAAAGCCAGAAATGGGCAAGGGGAACGCTTACTAATGAACAGAAGCCTGCTAGCCAGAGGCTGATACAAGAGACAGAGGAGGGTCCCAGGAGCTGCTCCCTTCATCATTCTCAGCAGCTGGGGTGACAGGCTTCTTAGCAGGGCATTGCCTCAGGATTTGATGGGTTGGGACACTCCTTTCACAGCTGTTGCTAAATGAAGGCTGTATGTTTCTAGTCATGTGATTCACCAATCTCATCTGTACAGCTGAATAATTTACACAGCCACTAAGGGAAAGGACCTGTCACCTGTGACAAATTGCACCCCGGATTAATCCTCAGGCTACAGGTGTCTAATAAACCCTCCATTAGGCAAGCAGTTTGTACATTTTTGTATTCACTGATGATAAAGATACATAGTTAATTATAGGTCACTGTTAAGTCAATACTCCTTTTAACACCATTAGCTCATCTTCAGCTGACAACTTAATGTCCAGCAGAGAATAAAAAAGCAATGTAATCATTGTAGTCTGCTATTCATTTTCTCATGTTATTTCACTAATGCTGAATAGACTCTCAATACTGTATAGAGCTCAAGTAGTGCCCATTATCTAATGGCTCCATTACCCACAAGAGCCATCAAGATTTTGTTAGAACGCTAGTCAAAAAGTTCTCAGGAAACTAAAATCAACTCGAACTGTGGGATTCTACAGAAATTAGTTTTAAAAAAGGCAAATCAAAGTATGTGATTTACAGAATGTAATTCTGGTGTGTCTGTGGCAGCAGCTGAAAACAGCTCCTTGACCCATTTTCTCTTTCTAAACCGGGGGTCGGCAACCTTTCAGAAGCGGTGAGCCGAGTCTTCATTTATTCCCTTTCATTTAAGGTTTCACGTGCCAGTGATACATTTTAACGTTTTAGAAGGTCTCTCTCTGTAAATCTATATACTATATAACTAAACTATTGTCGTATGTAAAGTAAACAAGGTTTTCAAAATGTTTAAGAAGCTTCATTTAAAATTAAATTAAAATGCTGGTCTTACACGGCTGGCCCACTCAGCCCGCTGCCGGCCTGGGGTTCCGTTCACCTAGGCCGGCAGCAGGCTGAGCGGGGCCGGCGGCCGGGACCCCAGCTGGCAAGAGGCCGGCAGCCAGAACCCCAGACCGGCAGGGGGCTGAGCGGAGCCAAAGGCCAGTACCCTGGCTGGCAATGGGCCGGCAGCCAGAACCCCAGACCCCGTCCACCAGCTCCTGCCAGGCAGGTCCCGGCCGCTGGCCCCGCTCAGCCCGCTGCTGGTCTGGGATCCTGGCCCTGCCCACACAGAGTGGGTACCTACCTTCTCCCTGGTTCTAGCCCATTCTCTTCCTCTCTCTCTGCACTGAGCTGAGGGTGGGAGTGCACCGAGCACAGGGCTGGGGGTGAAGGAGCAGGCTGGAGGTTGGGGTGTAGGGTCTGGCCAGGAGCTAGAATGAGGGAGGGGACTCAGGGTTCGGGCAGGAGGTTTGGGTGTGGAGTGCTTACCTGGGCAGCTCCCATTTGGTGCGAGGGGTGCAGGTGGGAATGTGTGTGTGTGTGCGCGCAGGAGCTCCCATTTAGTGCTGAATGTGGGGGGTGCAAGAGTCAGGGCATGGGGTGTGGGAGGGCTGGGGGTGTGTGAGGAGGGTGCAGGAGTCACGGCAGAGGGCTGGGGGCATGTGTGGGGGTGCTGGAGTCAGGGCTGGGGTTGTGGGGGGGTGCAGGGGTCAGGGCAGAGGACTGGGGTGTGTGGGCTAGGGTCGTGGGGGTGCTCCCAGCCCCCTGCCCAGAGCGGCTCATGGCAGGGGGCTGGAGGGGATATGCCCTGATTCCACCTCCCTTCCCCACGGCCCCGGCCCCATCTCTTCTCTGACTCTGCCTCCTCCCTGGAGCAGCGAGCAGAGCATGCTTCTCCCCCTCTTCTCAAGGGCCATCAGCTGATCAGCAGCAGGGAGGGAGAGGAGGAGGGGGAGGAGCCCAGCACGCTGGGGGAAGAGGCGGGGGAAGGGGGAGCTTGCCTGCCCTGCAGCAGCAGCCAGCAGGACCAAGCTTCTTCACCCTGCCCCCGTGGCGCCGGGGGGACGGAGAAGAGCGGGCCAGGGCGAGCAGGATTTTTAATGGCACACTGCTGCTTGCCAGGGTCCCGGCCTGGGTTCGGCAGCGGGCTGAGCAGGGCCGGCGGCTGGGACCCGGCAGGCAGCAGCGTGCCATTAAAAATTGGCTCACGTGCCATCTTTGCCATGCGTGCCATAGGTTGCCGACCCCTGTTCTAAACCCTCAACCGCTGGGCTTCTCTCTCACCAGGCCCATGTTAAATATTGTTAAGACTTGCAACACTACCTGCCTTTTAACTGTGATCACCCAAATGCAAGAAACAGAGATGAGCTTTGCCTCATTAAATCCAGCTGCTTCCTGGCACCAAACCTCCTTGGTAGGTCAAATTCTATAGCTACTTGTGCCCTTTGCACAATTCCGTATATGGAAGAGACACTAGAGGGGAAAATCCTGCAGAAGGGGGTGGAGCCAATTTGACTTAATAAATCAGAGAAGTTAGAGACTGAAGAGACCTATGACCTCTTCCCCATCCCCCCCGCCCTTTGCCCCCTTCTCTGCAACTTCTCCCAGTCATGTCTCTCCTTTGGTGCATCAAGGCTATAAATTGAATGTCGAAAAAATCACAGGCAAATTTCAGCTTGTGGCCTGTGACACAGGTTCTTCACAGTACCAGGAAACAAAGCCGGGGTCTCCCCAGCTCCCCTCTGGACCTGACTTTTCCCTTGGAGGCTGTGCACCGCCGACTGACACCCACGATGGATTTTAGCTCTGTTTTGCAGACTGCAGGACACCGTACGAGAAAAGGGAGCCTCAGGGGACCAACAACTTGGGGCAAGGATTTGCGGCAACGAAGTGCAGTCCCCTCAGAAGTGATGTTGGGCAGCTACGCATTTGGTACAGTGACTCCTGTTGAGAATGGAGACCACGCTCCTCTGCCATTCCTTTCTAGTGCCTCCTGCTAGCCAGAACTGGCATTGCAGTAGCTGTGCAGGTGTTTCGTTGTTCTGGATTTGCCACCATTTTAAAACAAAATGGTAAAGGAGCCTGAGGTAAACCCAGAAGAGCTAGAAATACTGGAGGGGGTAAGAGGGACCGGTGACATCGTGTGCTTTCTGGTGTAGCCACTTTTCCCCCGATGCCATTCAGATGGGCCAAAGGCACCCAGGCCCATTCCTCACAGGCCCTCTGCTCTCACGGAGCTCAATGGCAGTCGAGGGCACGCAGTGAGTCATAGGACAGCAGTGATTTCACACAAGGGATTAGTGTAAACAGAACAACGTGTTCTGTAGGTACACTGAAAGCAGACTGCTGTCAGAGAACCAGCGCCTTTCAGCACACTCACCGTCATTTCTTTATCGATTGTGTTATATAAATAACGTCTGATGGTGTCCAAATGCCACCTTTCCAGAGGGGCAAGAGGTCTGCACATCCTGGGTTGTTTGCCTCCCTTCCCCCCCCCAAGAAGAATGACCCAATCCCACAAAGTGGGGAAGGATGAATGTGGCCCCACAGCAGATCGTGGGTGCCCAGAACCAGTCGTGTTATCAAAGACAATAAGCATACAGGGATGGGCAGCGTTATCTACATCCTCTATGGAAGGGGGAAATGGGATTCCCCTGCAACAAGAGAAGGTGACCCGCTACCAGTGCCCGAACTCGTCAGGGCCCTACGCTATGTAAATAGTCTTCACCCTTCAATAAAATGACTCAGCTCTTCCTCCAGTGGAAAGAAGCCCACATCAAAAGATCACTCCACAATGGGACCTTTCTTGCTTAGGAGTGAGTTGATATTTACAGCCCCTAGGTCTGAGCAGAGGCAGTGATGCAGCTGCTCACCACACACAACCTACAGAGTTCAACCCAAGAGGCCTTCAGATTCCATTGCGGCATTTCTGAACAACAATTTCTGCTTGAAGATATTTTTAAAAATTAAGCCTCCCAAGTCTTATGGGGGCACCTGCAATCCCCCGCCACCATCCTGCACCCCTCAGGCATAGTGCCAATGCCCCACCCCACAGCCCGCACCCCCATCTCTTACACTCAGTCTGGGGGTACCTGGCCCTTCCTACCTTCCTCCACATCATTGCGAGATGCTGCCTCCAGCAGCTTGATGCTCTCCGGAAACAGCACTCGCTTCTCCTTGCTGCTATTCTTTCTCCTCTTTTCTGCTCTCGTCTTCTTGCTCTGGGCCTCCTTTTCAAACTGTGCCCATTTCTTCAGCTGCTGCGTCCGGCGCTTCTGTGCATGCTTCAGCCGCTCCTGGGTGCTCATCCTGGCCACTGCTGGCATTTCCGCCAGCAGCTCCAGGTGCTCCGCCATGGCTGCTGCAGGGAAGGGAATACAGACTGCTCTTCTTCGACGTCTCGGTTCCAGACACAGGAGCCCCAAGGTGCTGGGAAGAAAGCCCAGGCGTGTATAGAAGAGAGGCGTGAGGATCCCTGCCTCCAGAGGGCATCACCTGCACCACCTCAAACGGTCTGTCACCAGGCCACAGCCTCAGAGAACATGAATGGTGCAAACTTGTCTTATACCTGGATCCTGGCTGCTTTCTGGGGCTCTGCCACCCCTTCTGGAGATAGAGGGTTCTGCTCCATAACCACCCCTCTTCTCTGGGTTTCTCCCCGAGTGGTTTGATGGTCTTCCCAGGCCTCAAACACTGGGGGTCTTTCCCATGAATTGGGAGTCAGCAATTTTTCCAGAAAAACTCCCACCATGCAAACCAGCTAATAAGTAAAGTGCATTGTACCGTGGGTGAGAGAGGCTCCCGCTCCTATGCCCTCAGCCCAGCAAACGGCCACACAGGGACCGTGTGAGCAGCAGCAACAGAATCGTCGTTCATTGGGCTTAGAACCTTTGCAGCCTCTTTCCACCCACACACGGTTTCATAGGAGGCCCAAAGATACCCGTACAATGCTCTCTCGGCTCTGCCTGCGTGGTTTCAAAGGTAAAGGCAGACAATTAAATTAAGAGCCCCGGAGGTATAGCCATCCAGATAGCCACCTTAAAGGTCTGAGTTAGCCAATCAGCTCTGTGTCCACACTGCTCTTTGGGAGCAGACAGAAGCCTTGGGAGGTTAAGTCGGGAAATCTGTCTGTCCCCCAGAGCAGCACTACTGTTCAGTCCTGTATTAAGTCAGTGGGGTGTGACCCCACTTGAGCCTTTACACCCCAGCAATTCATAGTACAGAGGAAGGCTGGACGGCTTCTCAGGCACACTCACAGTGGGAATTATTACGAAGTTATTTTGTCTGTCACCGAGTCCATGCTCGGAAACTAATTACCTGGATAACGTCCTCCCTTTTGCCTCCTGTGTTCATGAATCCAGGGCCGTGGGGGGCAAGTAAGGGGATAATTTACTGATGACTTAGTTTCAGCTGTCCTCATTCCAAGCAGCAATCTCTAAACTGGGCTCCTCCCAGTACCGGGAACCAACAGGTTGTTCCAGAAAGCTGTCTATGGCTGTTGTGTCCTCCCCACAGAGATCGTTCAAAGCTGCCCAACGGAAGAGATAAACACCAGTGAATATTTAGTGCCCATTACCACCAGAAACCAGCAGCCCCGAAGGACCAAGATCAAATATCAAGCAGAAGAAATGGGAGGAAAAGGCAGATCCACACGCCATCTGTGTCACTGTATCCACAGCACTGTACAATCCTGTCACAGCGGTTGCAGGGAGAAATCCCTTCTGCATTCCTTTCTTCCATGTGGTCTCCGGTCTTTGCCACTTACATTCTTCCAGGTGCTCGGTGAACTTTGAGAACATGGATGCTCATTGTCAGAGGGAGAGTCCCTCACTCCACATCCCCTGGTGCTCTGCAAGTTAACTGCTTCCCTTGGAGCTGCTTGAAAGCCCTCCAAGAGGAAGCGGTGTCTTTGCACTTCCCCTCCCCGGGGTGGACACAAAGGAGAGCTGCACAGGAGCTGGATCTCTAAACCTCGGCTTGCATCCTGGCAGTCAGTGCAAGTGCTCGGGCGGGCGGCCTCCCTGGACTAGCTGGCAACTCCTCCCTCCCTACAGTCAGTCACAGTGACACTTGAAAGCTGGGCTGAGCTTCCTGCTATCCTCCGTCAAGCACGCCTGGAGCATGGAGCTTCAGGAGTCCTGCAAAGAAAAGAACAAGGGGAAAAAATGGGGGGGGGGAGTGTTAGGGCTCTGCTGAGGGGAGAGAGCCTGCCCCTCCCTACAAGACCCTGACCCCCCTCTGCACCCCACCCGATGCTGTTTTTGCCCTCTGTTAATCCAGGATTAACCTACAATCAAAGTTTAAGCAAATTACCCAGAGCTTTGCCAATAGCAATTGAAAGCTTCTTTCTCCCTCACTGAAGCTGCCCGCATAGGCCAACCCTCCAGAGCACACCTTCCTGCCAGCAGCATTCCGACAGACCTGCCAAGGCTTGGAAACTCGCAGCCTCCCCTGCAATCCAGGGTGTTGCTCGGGTAAACTGGCATTCAGAGCACCAAGAGGAAGAAAATAAAAGCTTCCTCTAGGAACACAGTTGCACTGAGTTAGCGGATTACAGAGGCGTCTGACCCCCAAAGGGTGAGCAAGCGACAAGGCCGCTCCATCTCCCAAGCACTTGATTTCATTGTCTCAGACTTTATTTGAAGAACATTCTGCAGTTCAAAGCAGTAACCGTAGCCACCCCACCAGGAAAGCTCCTGTGTAACAGACTAGCATGGAAACAAACCCTTTCCTTCACCTTGAAGGGTCACTAGTCCCTGCCAACGAGGGACAGATTATTTACTTACCTGAGGACATGAAGTTTCCAGAATTGGCCAAAGCATCTTATTATTGAATCAGAGAAAGGAAGGGAAACTTACTAGGCCTTAAGAGTATCTCTGGAGCCAGTGCAGGACTGCTCCCCGGCTCTCTTAGCACTCCCAGTCTAGCTGTGACCAGCACCACACACTTTGCCCTTCAGAGAGCCCAAAACACTCCTAGTCCCTTGGGGGAGGGACTGCCTCTTTGTTCTCTATTTGTACAGCCCCTAGCACAATGAGGGCCTGATCCATGACTGAGGCTCCTTGATGGGGCTCCACGGTAATACACATAATAATGCAAGGTGGGTCAGAATTATTATCCCCATTTTACCAATGAGTAAACTGAGGCACAAAGAGGTGTCCAAGGTCACAGCCAGTCTGTAACAGACCTGGAAATGGAACCCAGGTGTCCCAACTTCTAGTATTCTACTACAACCACAAGACCACCTTTTCTCCCATACACCACTTCCCATGGGAGAGCACTGTGCACAACCAAAATCACACAGTGGGGCGGTCCCTAATATTCGCCAGCCTTTTTCTAGTGTATTCTTGGTACCAGCCATTCAGGACAGATCAACAGTGAGAGCAGAACTTGAGCTAAACACCACACACTCAGCCAGTCAACAGGAGTCACAGAAATATAGAAACTGCCAAAGTGGACAGACCCATGGTCCATCTAGCCCAGTAACCCATCTCGGACAGTGGTCAGCACCAGATGCTTCAGAGGAACGTGTAAGAACCCCACAGGAGCAGACATGGGATAATCTACCCGCTATTAAGTCTCACCCTCGTCTCTCTTAGTTAAACATTGATTTAAGCCTGGAAGCAGGAGGCTGAGCGTGTTGGGGCTTGCCCATTTTTCCGTGGGGCCCCCAATTGGCCAGGGCCCCATTGGCCAAACCATCACTGCTAGTGCAGACAGTATTCCAGATGAGGCCACACCACTGATTTACACCACTGGGCAAGAGACCCAAAAGCGTATGCCGGTAGCTGCATAAAACAGCACCTCTGTTACAACAGACGTATATGCATCTGACGAAGTGGGTATTCACCCACAAAAGCTTATGCTCCAATACGTCTGTTAGTATATAAAGTGCCATAGAATCATAGAATCATAGAATATAAGGGTTGGAAGGGACCCCAGAAGGTCATCTAGTCCAACCCCCTGCTCGAAGCAGGACCAATTCCCAGTTAAATCATCCCAGCCAGGGCTTTGTCAAGCCTGACCTTAAAAACCTCTAAGGAAGGAGATTCTACCACCTCCCTAGGTAACGCATTCCAGTGTTTCACCACCCTCTTAGTGAAAAAGTTTTTCCTAATATCCAATCTAAACCTCCCCCACTGCAGCTTGAGACCATTACTCCTCGTTCTGTCATCTGATACCATTGAGAACAGTCTAGAGCCATCCTCTTTGGAACCCCCTTTCAGGTAGTTGAAAGCAGCTATCAAATCCCCCCTCATTCTTCTCTTCTGCAGGCTAAACAATCCCAGCTCCCTCAGCCTCTCCTCATAACTCATGTGTTCCAGACCCCTAATCATTTTTGTTGCCCTTCGCTGGACTCTCTCCAATTTATCCACATCCTTCTTGAAGTGTGGGGCCCAAAACTGGACACAGTACTCCAGATGAGGCCTCACCAATGTCGAATAGAGGGGGACGAGTGCCAGAGGACTCTTCGCCTCTGTTATAACACTAACTCACAAGAACTTCACAGCAGCAGACAGCCAAAATACTGTAGCCACTGGGATTTGTTTCAGAGCAGTTTCAGCTTGCTTCTTGAAGTGATCAGCCTGATCCATGTGCCTGGTGGAAATGTGTGTCTGCACAGTATGACAAGTGGAAAAAAGGGGCTCCCATCACAAACAGGAGGAACTAAATCAGAACAGCTCAGGAGAAATGCCATATATAGCACGACAAACAAGAATTCCTGTGACACCCATAATCTCCCTCTGAAAGCCAAAATCACTACGGAAAAACAAACAGGAATGTGCTTAGTTCGTCCTTAAGGCTCACATTCACCGGGAAGTGGGGGGGAAGGTTGAAGAATTTGACCAGAATTCTGAACCTCATTAAACATTTTTAGGTTTAGCTTAAACCTTTGGCACCGAGAGCAGACATATGTTGACAAGGAAAATGCACTAGGCAGATGCAAATTAAAGAGACAAAACCTTAATTTTGCATTAAGGCACATTATATCTTACCACCATAAGAACAAAACCAGGGCTCTCTGCCCTATTTCCTGTGGCACCTAAAACACTGATCCGGGCGGCCAGGAAGCAGGAGAGGCAGTGATACAGCATGTATGGTCCTAACAGAAGATAAAATGCTACTTTTTTCGAAAGACCTTTCTAGATTATGACTATTGTGGCTAGAATGGTTGCTCTACGTGTAGCACTGTGTAGTGACAGAATATGTCAGAATCTAATCTCAATTCCACTGATGTAAATCCAAAATAATTTCACAGACATCAGTAGAGTTACTCTACATTTACTCTGGTGGAACTCCTTAAATCAGAATCAGATAGAGGGATCTCACATTTCATATAGCACCTTTCCTTCATAATCAAAAAGGCTGACAAAGGAGGTGCTGTCGTCATCATGAATAGGTCGGAATATGAACAAGAGGCTGCTCGGCAGCTCTCCAACACCACTTTCTACAAGCCATTACCCTCTGATCCCACTGAGGGTTACCAAAAGAAACTACAGCATTTGCTCAAGAAACTCCCTGAAAAAACACAAGAACAAATCCGCACAGACACACCCCTGGAGCCCCGACCTGGGATATTCTATCTGCTACCCAAGATCCATAAACCTGGAAATCCTGGGTGCCCCATCATCTCAGGCGTTGGCACCCTGACAGCAGGACTGTCTGGCTATGTAGACTCCCTCCTCAGGCCCTACGCTACCAGCACTCCCAACTATCTTCGAGACACCACTGACTTCCTGAGGAAACTACAATCCGTCGGTGATCTTCCTGAAAACACCATCCTGGCCACTATGGATATAGAAGCCCTCTACACCAACATTCCACACAAAGATAGACTACAAGCCATCAGGAACAGTATCCCCAATAATGTCACGGCTAACCTGGTGGCTGAACTTTGTCCTCACCCATAACTATTTCACGTTTGGGGACAATGTATACCTTCAAATCAGCGGCACTGCTATGGGTACCCGCGTGGCCCCACAGTATGCCAACATTTTTATGGCTGACTTAGAACAATGCTTCCTCAGCTCTTGTCCCCTAACGCCCCTACTCTACTTGCGCTACATTGATGACATCTTCATCATCTGGACCCATGGAAAAGAAGTCCTTGAGGAATTCCACCATGATTTCAACAATTTCCATCCCACCATCAACTTCAGCCTGGACCAGTCCACACAAGAGATCCACTTCCTGGACACTACGGTGCTAATAAGTGATGGTCACATAAACACCACCCTATACCGGAAACCTACTGACCGCTATTCCTACCTACATGCCTCCAGCTTTCATCCAGACCACACCACACAATCCATTGTCTACAGCCAAGCTCTACGATACAACCCCATTTGCTCCAACCCCTTAGACAGAGACAAACACCTACAAGATCTCTATCAAGCATTCTTACAACTACAATACCCACCTGCTGAAGTGAAGAAACAGATTGACAGAGCCAGAAGAGTACCCAGAGTCACCTACTACAGGACAGGCCCAACAAAGAAAATAACAGAATGCCACTAGCCATCACCTTCAGCCCCCAACTAAAACCTCTCCAACGCATCATCAAGGATCTACAACCTATCCTGAAGGACGATCCATCACTCTCACAGATCTTGGGAGACAGGCCAGTCCTTGCCTACAGACAGCCCCCCAACCTGAAGCAAATACTCACCAGCAACCAAACACCACACAACAGAACCACTAACCCAGGAACCTATCCTTGCAACAAAGCCTGTTGCCAACTCTGTCCACATATCTATTCAGGGGACACCATCATAGGGCCTAATCACATCAGCCACAGTATCAGAGGCTCGTTCACCTGCACATCTACCAATGTGATACATGCCATCATGTGCCAGCAATGCCCCTCTGCCACGTACATTGGTCAAACTGGACAGTCTCTACGTAAAAGAATAAATGGACACAAATCAGACGTCAAGAATTATAACATTCAAAAACCAATTGGAGAACACTTCAATCTCTCTGGTCACGTGATTACAGACCTAAGAGTGGCAATTCTTCAGCAAAAAAACTTAAAAAACAGACTCCAACGAGACTGCTGAATTGGAATTAATTTGCAAACTGGATACAATTAACTTAGGCTTGAATAGAGACTGGGAGTGGATGGGTCATTACACAA